CCATACATGCTTACAAACAACTTTGTCAGTTGAACACAAACAGTTTCAATTCAGCAAAAATGGCCAAGTTCAATAAGAGGCAAGAAAGTCCTTCCAACATAGACGTCATCATGTCTCAATCAAGATTTTCCAGAAAACTCAAATGGGCAGTCAGTTATAAATGTTCATTTCTCTGTAAAATATGGGTGCTTACTGGTCATATGACAAGTGATTGACTGGACAACAAATCTCAGACAAATAACAAGGATCTGCTTCTAAGGGAAACATTGCAAAACTTCTGTGCTAGGCAAGAAAGAGCGAGTATCACTCACCTCTTCTGTAGGTCCTCGTCCGTCACGTGTACCCCATCAGAGTCGGTCCCTCGCAGCAACTTGACGTCCAACAGCTTCTCGATCATCTCGTCCTTCTCTGCCTCCGTCTCGGCCCCGCCCATCAGGGCAGCCAGCACCTTCTGGCCGGTCTTGCCCTCCGGTCCGTCGCCCTGATCCCCTGGGGTGGGGGCGGGCAGGTTGGTACCGTGGCGGTAGCGGGCGAAGAAGAGGTCATTACAGACGGCCGAGAGCGCCTGGTGGAACTCGCGGGTGAAGCCGGCTGACGTGTCGTCGCGCATGTCGCCTAAAACAGGGCAGAGATTCCAGATTGAGTGAACTTTAATTCATAAGTTCCTTCTACCAAGCCAGTCTTTGTATCTGACAAACGCACAGTATTTCCACAATAGAAATGCTCAATTCTTACATTTCATTACTAAAACAGACACATAGTCCACACAGAGCATGTGAAAAATATCACTCCTAGTTTTAGGTCAGACTTGTTGATCTATTAAGAGAGAAATTCTTTGGGACTTTGAATCGTCTGTAGCTTGAATTAATTTCACACCTGTGTGGACAGGATGAGCAATCTTAATACATCGCACAGTGCAGAAAGCTATCAACCTTCTCCACTACACTCACAGCCAATCCAATACTATGCCATGCTAAAACCTTGATTATGCCGATGATGTAACCAGTAAACCTACTAGCATAATGGACAGGTGAGGATTTGGAGGCTTAGGGAAGGATGAAGAGAACGTTTCAGGTGCCAAACACACACCGATCAACAAGGAGTATTTACATTTGAGGACAACAGCTTCATATCATGTCTTCTTGGATTGCATAGGATCTTCTCATGGAAGTCCAAACTGTTGTTTTTTTGGAGAAGCCACAAGAAACATGCAGAAAAGTGCTAGTGTTGCTGTACATGGCCTGGAACCAGAACAGCCTTTCCACAAATTATAAGACAACTGGAAACTTTGTCTCCGGCTGGCGGTGGAAAATGACTCAGCTGTTGGCTACAGGCTTCACAAGCACCACGTGGACATCTAGCTCGGGGCTTTGGTTGCAAGCTGCATAAAGTCTAGGGCATTGAAACGATGGCCTTTACCGGTCTTGATGTGAGCTAGGGCGTGGACCAGCACCAGCACAAACTCCCCCACTGTGTCCAGCCGTGCCTGGCGGACGTACAGGATCTTGTTGGTGTCGTCGAAGTGGTAGGAGTTGCGATAGGTGTTACGGGCCAGCCTGTCGTTGACGGGGATCCGCTCGGCCAGGAGCAAGGTGACCGGGCTGTGGGCACAGCGAGTGGCCACCAGCCGCGCCACAAAGCAACCAAACTTGTAGATGACAAAGTTGCGGGGGCTGAGACGGCTCAGGTCTACAGGCACCAGCTCTGTGTCTTGGGTCCAGCCAGCATCATGATCGTCAACAAAAGGTTCGTCTGGATGAAAGATACAAAGAGAAATATCCAAAGTCCACGAGGACGCTACACAGGAAACAAAGCCTCAGTATAATTAACGTGCTGAAAGAATTCTAGCTGCAATTTTGTCAGAAGCACCGACTATCAGCACTAACACCTTGGTCAGTAACCCGCCATCATCAACAAACATTTTTATCAACAAACCTTTCAGTGACACGTAGTTGACATTAATTAATAGGACACATTTACATTCCAAGAACAATCTCCGAGGCCTCTTCACTAAAACTTGACAGCAAAAAAATACTGTACATGCACCAGGAAAACAGTCACAACTGATTTCCGCTAAGCACTGTTCCTTTGTAAGGCAACTGACTAACAGAAAAAAGCATTTTGGTGACGTGCCACAGTTTAACATGGAATCAATGCACAAAGCACCCATAGATAAGCCCTGTGCTCGCCTAATCCCCTGGGGATTTCCCAGACTGTTACCAGGTCCTGCATTGGGCTTGAAAATGAACATTACCTGGGAGGCAAAATGTTGAGGTTTCTAACTGATTTCCATTGTACAAGAATCTTCTTATGACTCATTTTGAGAGGGTTGGGTTACATTTTGCCTTATCTGCCTTACCCTGTCCTCGCTTTTTGGGCGGCAGGTCTGCGTCATCCATGGTCCTCTTGATCTCCTCCAACTTCTTGTACAGCGGAGAAGCCATGAGCAGGGCGGCAAAGTCGGCATCGCTGAGCGGCGCAGCCGAGGCATACGCAGACGGGAAACCTGCAGCATTCTGCTGCATGCCCTCATAGGCGACACCCGGGGCCAGCTCGCCAGACAGGAGGTGGTCGGTGTCCACGCACTCCTTCAAAATGATCACCTGAGGATCACGATGGTTGGGGAAGAATGCAAAGTTAAACAAGGTGTAATTCAAGTTCTCACCCCGAGGTACCCCTATCAAACCTTGTTAAACCTCTTAAATCCTCCAGGTAAACCTTGATTTCCAACCTGTCAAATTTTCCAACCTTAGGGGAAGAAGCAAACTCAAACTCACTGTAACCAGAGATTCAGCTCGGGGTTATTAGGTTTTTATGCTACCTCAGGGTAAAATTAAGGAGTTACGGCGGGCTTAGTATTGACTTCACCCTCAATGGAATGATTGTCACACAGGACCAAGTCTGAATCTCAAAGGCTTGGGCTAAGTCTTCGCCAGTGGCAAAAATGTGGGGCCACGGCTGGAATAGACAGCCATAGCCTAAACAGTTCGTTTTGGATACAGCGTTTAGGATGTGTTTTCAGAACAGTGTTAGTATGTGGATTTGGGTTCCACATGTCACATAGTTTGATCACAAGCCTATGCAGTCACAACTATTGCAGACTTGGGGTATCAAGTGTGAAATGTTGCAACCAACATGACAGTCACAGATGAACTTGCCTTTGCCGCAATAGTTACAATTTGTGCTTTTAATGTTACAAATGAAAGCGAGGAGAATCGATTGGCTGGTCAACTCTTTTCCTGACCATAAATCAAGTTTACGTTTCAGTTTGACAATAAATCAGAAATGGAATCTGTTCTAAAAAACACATTTTGCAACAGTGGTGTTGCATTTGGCAGCAAATACACACTGCAAAGAAGCAACATTTTTAACGTTGCACAGCAATGTTACCAACGTGGCATTTTGCAGCAAGGCCAGACTGCAAAGACACTAGGAGGTCCGTTGCAAAGCAACGTTGCATCCCTTATGATGCACATGCACAGTTATTTCATGACCATGTTGCATTTTTTTTTAACCCAGCTATGTGGCAAAGATGCAACCCAGGCTCGGTTGCAACGCAACAACTGGACAAAGCAGACAACGAACCTCCTCTGCTCTCATCTTCTCCTTCTCCTGCCGGAGTTTCTCCTCATGGTCCTGCTTGTTCTCCTCTTGCTGGCTCACGAGGTTTTCCTCCTTGGCCTTGCGACGTTCCTCACGTCTCTTCTTCAAACGATCCTTGAACAAAAATAATAATGTATAATTAAAATGGCCTTTCACATCTCAACACAGTTTTTACGATCTCAAAAGGTTTCAGAAAACAAGCCAGACAAAAAACAAGTAGATTCTGTGAAATCTGCATTTCTTTATTCTGTACATAGTGCCAAACTTGCAGCAAAACCTGAAGGATTAGACTCTCACAAATCAAACATTTGTGAGTCAAACATCCCAAAACCCCCCAAATCTTGAGAAATCACACCTCAGGAGTTAATGCAATATGCAATCAATAATACCAGCAGTCACAAGTGCTATTAAGCAGATCCTTGACAAATACACAGAAGCATTTTCAATGATGCAGTGTGATTATAATTCCAGTCCTGTACTAATTTGTTCAAAATTTGGACAATTCTTTGAATAAAAACAATTAGAGATTAGTCTCCAAGTTGCAATATAAAGCCAAATAAGAAATTACATGTGTGGCAATATTTTAGCAAGGAAGGTATCTGGGTATCTCTCTGACACCATTTTTGGAAACCTTTGCTTGACACAAATACGGATGTAAATATAAACCTAATTAGCTGGAATGCCGAAGTTTCAACTTCGAGGTTTATGTCGACATCCTGTTTTCAGATGCTGGATTAAAATTCTGGCGTTTGAAAGCAAGCCAATGTAAATAAAGCTCTGATGCCTTGAAGGTCGTACCTCCAAGTCACTCTGCATGCGGACCCGGTCGGCATCCATCTTGTTCTTCATCTTGGCCAGGTCTTTCTCGTACTCCTCCACCAGCCTGTCCTTCTCCTCCTTGCTGCCTCCGCTCTTCTGCAGGGCTTCCAGCTTCTCCTGAGCAATATCAAAAGATTTAGACATCGTTCAACTGACGCCACTTCAACAATGGACTATCCAGTTGACCAGACTGTGGGGCATGGTTGCATTACAGGTTATCGGTAGCATTTTGACATAAGTTAACAGAAATAGTTAAGCAAGACTGTCTGTCAAATATACACAACTTGTTTGAGCTATAGTCAATCTTACTTTTCTGCTAACAATCATTGTCACTTTAGTGCCTATTTCGTCTAGTACGTCCTCTAAGTGCCTCATCAGCATGGTACGGTTGAATGAATACATCAGGTAAGGCCAACATGTAATACAATGTATTACAATGTACCACAATGCAATACAATGTATTACAATGTACCACAATGCAAT